CACTGTCTCTGTCATCTTCCAGAGGAAGACACTGTGAGCTCATTACTGTCTCTCTTCTACTGAGGTACACTGTCTCTGTCATCTTCCAGAGGAAGACACTGTGAGCTCATTACTGTCTTTCTCCTACTGAGATACACTGTCTCTGTCTGTCGTTTAACAGAGGAAGATGTCCAGATGAAGCACACTTAGGAGTGTACTGTATCTGTTCTCACTGTGTCAGGCTGTACAGTCCTGGACTTAGAAAAGGGGGGATTGTGGGTTCAAATCACACTTGAGGCTCAGCTGCTGTGTCCTTGAGCAAGATGCTTCACTCAGGGTATTTCAGCTGCATACAGGAGAACAGAATGAAGTTGTTTTGGATAAAGATTTTGCTGAATAAATGACAAGAATAATTTTAGTCCTGTAGTTGAGCAATAGATAAGTGTGCTTATGGCTGTGTGCAGTTGTTCAATGAGACATCCTGGCAATATTATTCCCAACAGACTGGAGATGTGTTTAGTTGACAATCACCACCACTATACTGTATGTGAATATGCATGTTAAAACTACAGTATGTAGCAGAGGGCAGTGAATAAGGTTATTGCTGCTGAGTTACAATCTAGTGAAGATTCAGTGAAGGCTAACTGGGTGTCGCTGCAGTACAAACAATGAAAACGCTGAACACTATGTACTGTAGCAAAGCTCAGTGCGTTTGTGTGAAAGAACCTACTTCTGTTTAACTGGACCCCAACAAGGCAGCAGGAGTTTATTTCTGTGAACAGAACTGGGAAGTGGTCACACTGCAGGCTTGAACAGGAAATGATCCGACAGAATCAGCTTTTCCACAGGCAGAAAACAAGCCCACACTCCAGCCTCTTCAGCAAAATGTCTAAATATAACCTCTCCATTTTTAATACACTTCCCCTACAATGTTTCCCCCTCAATCAACAGTATTTCACAAGCTACAGTGCACTGCTGCAGTTTAATACTCGTTACAAATGCGTGAGACGACAGTAGCACACCCACTTCATAAATATGCTGTTTTATAGTGTGTACGAATTATTCTGTTATTCCGAGTTTTAGTTTAGAGTTGTATGTTGAAATATGTCTCTTTGGTTTCACTTCCTCCGTAAGCAATTATAACATCAGTCATTTTAATTTTTTGCTGTTATATATCTTGTACTGTATAAAGCTTCTTCGCAGTGCGATGGGGGGAGCAGAGCTTGCCTTTCTAGCTCCTCTGAGCAGAGAGCTGATTGGTGTTTCTGGGGTGGAATTGTCATCTCCCACACAGGAAGGTCCAAGTCCAATTCCAGCCAGTGGTCAAGGTGCACGAAAAAGAGGTCCGATTTAAAAAGAAGAGTACGCCTTTGAATGAATGTGTCTGGTACATGTGCAGGTGATGAGGAGTCTGGAGTAGTGCAGGCTGGTACTGTAGTTATATCCCCCTAAGCAGCTTGCAGTCCTCCTGACCTGCGAACAATTCTGGAGACCCTGCCCGTCAGCGACAGAGAACTAGCGAAGCACTTGCACTAGTAGCTACTGCCTGCTGTGGGGAAGTATTCTTATTAAGTGTAAATCACCGCCTCTGGATGGAAGCATTCTGCGATAACGCTGATATGTGTGATGTACAGTATGGATAGCAGTGGATATTACTTCATGGAATTCTTGAACTTTTCTTACTCATTTGGACATTACTTGGCTCAATGTAAACAAAACTGTATCATGATGTAAACAGTAATGTTACCTGTGAGGGACATGAAAAAAGCCATTTATGTGTCAATGTATTTGGCTCCTGCTTAATGCTCCTGCTTAATTTGAATGTTGCATTAAATACATTCGGCTACATCCTGCTCTGATCTTCTTCCATACAAAACCTGTTAAGACTGAATCACGAATGAGCGAATGTTTGATTGGCAGAGGGTGAGACTCTGCTGTATTTTATTTTAATAAGGATGAAGCAGTTCTACCCTCCTGGGTCAGTTATACAGATAGTTTTGAACCTCTTCATTGCATAGGGGCAGAGGTACTGGCACAACTGACCAACAGGCGTGTCTGGTGTGTGCCGTTGAGTGATCACAATATCCAAGGCCAGATCAGCCCAGAGAAACATCTGTAGTTGATGATGGAAAAAATCTGACAGCTGTTGAGGAAAACTAATGCAGCTGTCAGTGAAATATTCAATCTGTCTTGAGAGAGCAGGGGTGAAGGTGTCCAAATCCACAGTTCACAGAGGACTGAGACAGCAGGTTACAAGGGCTACACTGCAAGATCTCTCATCAGCACCTAGAACGCAAAAACCACATGAGAATTTGTTCGAATTTTGATTTAGAAGGTTGTTTAGTCAGCTGGAAGAGATGAGCCGGGGGAGTTTTAGACCAATGTTTTTGGCCCAGATGAGACCGAGATCCTGTAAGCCTTCACTGAAGTGATGGAGGTTGGACTGCAGAGAGAGAGAGAAGAGAACTACAGACACTCCTATTTCCTATGACGCTGGTCTGTGAAAGGCCATGCATGGCCACTTCACGAACTGGTTCAGTTTTGATACAAAAAAATTATACAACTAAAATGATAGAACTGAGGAATGGAGGTGAAGAAACAGTAACAGAAATATTTTCTTTATGTTGAAGGAAATGGTTCCATACTTATTGGATGGTGCTTCAAGTGATATAACAGTGACTCAATACTGCATAAAGCTTTGTTTTTGGATCTTATTTTATAGAAGGTATAATTAAATCTGGAAGGTACTGTTTAAATGGTTGACTACTAGTCAGTTGATGTTTTAGTATTTATCTTCCTTTATGAAGTGTCATTTGTAATCCATTCACGATAATGTTACTCCTTCAGGTAACAGTTCTAAATGTCTTTAAATATACAGTAGGTAACATTTATCAGTACAGGCGCAGCAGGCAGTTTCCAAATGAGTCGGTACACACTGTGTTTTATTCCAATTATGGCTTTATTTCCTGAAATAGTATTCAAAGAGCTTAACAAGCAGGCAAACATAAATGAGGACACATCTCTTTTCACAGTGTGAATCTTAATACTTCACTCAGGTGTACAGACGATCAAGACCCACACCTGACACCTCTCTGGTATAATCACAGTCATCACTTGTTTTTCTCAGTCTGTCCAGCAGTCGGCACCACTGCTCTGTGCAGCTTCACCCAGAGGGACAGTCATCATGGACTGAGCTGCTCAGCGTCTCTCAGTGTCCTAGACCAGAGGAGGACAGACCCGCTGTGTCCACTGGATGAACACTGCCCAGTGGTACAGGTCCCTGAATCTGCTGCCCTCCTCCGGGACAGCTGCTGTGTGACGGGATCTGATTCAGAGGCTCTAGACCAGAGTGTCTCGCCACACAATTAAACCTCAGCTGCTCTTCACCAGTACAAAACGTAAGCACAAATACAGCACAGCTTTGACAGGTTTAACTGTGAGGTATTTATAGAGAGGTGCAAATTAAAACGGAGAAATGTCTATTAAACTAGATCAAATAAAATCTATTACTTTGTCATGATAAGTGTATCGATAACATGGCGAGCATCACTTCAAAGCTATACAAAACTGCAAGTGCACTTAGAGCAGATATACTGTTTTTGCACAAACTCAAAAACATGAAGTGAACAAAATGAAAATAACAAAAACACTATATTATAAAGACCGCTGTTAATACATGATAAGCGGTGTGTAACATCTTGCCAAAATACAAAATCTAAAAAACACATCTAAACAAGCGTTAAAGCAGCACACAGGTTAATATGACTGAGAAATGCTTCACTTAAGCCTGTCTAACAATTTCACTGCAATATTCTTTTCGGCACAAGAGAGACGTGACAGAAGCAGCACTTCAGTGAACTGGTGTCTGACTCCAAGGAGCCGGGTGACTGGTACTGTAACACACTGCAGCCTGTCCACAGGAGGACGAGTCCTCATCCCGGGACATTGCAGACAGAAGGAGACGGGGGATCGGGGAAAACTTGGGAAGACGATTTGGTTAAATCCAGTTTTCCCTTTCTCTGTCGCAAGGGTCACTCGTCACTTGAACTGAGTAATAACCCGATCAGATGAGTGAGGAGGTGAAGTGACAAAGACCAGGGCAGGCGGAGCTGCTGTGCTGTATGTCCTGCAGTGGACAGGGCTGTGTGACAGGAGTGGGGACAGGACAGAGACACCGATCTCACAGTGTTTCTCTGTCCTGCTGAGAAAGAGCAGCTGCAATAGCGCACAGCAAGAGCACAGAGACATGCTGTATATACATGAAACCTAAAGTCATTAACGGGATTGAAATGGATATAAAAACATTAGAAGCAAAAATATAAAAAATCATTAAAATGGCATCCAGCAGTTGTTCTCTACCCTAGTACTTAGAAGTAATCAAAGGATAAATCAAACTTTCCAATTAACATCTTGGGAAGTTTTCTTTAAGCTCTTAAAAAGTTGAGTGTGTTTGTAATTGGTATCATCTCTATGCTACTTCCTGAGTTTCAAAACTGCCCTCAGTGGATACTGTCATTACAGCTGTGGGCGTGTATGCTACAGGGCCACTCCCACTGTGGGCGTGTCCACAACGGCATCACTACCACTGCGAGTGTGTCTGCTACAGTTCAACTCCCACTGTGGGCGTAACTGACACAGTGCGACTCCCACTGTGGACGAGTTTGATACACTGTTGCTCCCACAATGGGAGAGTGTGACACTGTTCAATATACAGTAGTGTTATTCCCTCCTGTATACATTCATCACAAGATCTCATGTTAAGATCATTGTTCTGACATCCTGCTAAGTGCAGATGGTGTTGGAAATACCTCAGCGTATTTCTGAACCTGAGAGCTGAGAGCAGAAAAGGTCTGTCAATTACAAGAAGTAACTAGCCCGTGTGATTAAGGGCCCAGATAATAATAATAATAATAATAATAATAATAATAATAAACTTTATTTTATATAGCGCCTTTAAAGGTGGCTTCTCAAAGCGCTTTACAGGATGACAATAACAATAAATAAGAAGACTACAACAATAAATGTAGTCTAGATAGTCTAGAGTTCTCCAGGATCATGAGTGAGAACCACAAGCACTGAGATTGTCAAGGCACAGAGGGAGAATTTGGATTTATTTTTGTGTTACGATTCTAGTCTTTCAATTTACTCCAAGCTGACCTTTTTTAAAATAAAGCTTTAATATGATTAAAATTCCAAGAAGATGTAAGAGTCAAATACTGGTGCAGACTGTAGATGGGGGATAGAGACAGCCAGTAAGATGGACAGATACAGTGACACAGGGGACAGACTAACTGAGACTGATAAACACAGCAGATGATAAACACACCTCCATCTCTGGACATGTTCAGATAACCTGAACATGGAGCTCTGACTGGTTGTGATGAGTCGGTAGTCACCGGAGATTTCTGGTCTACAGACCTGGACATGTTTAAGTGTGACTGTCAGAGACAGATCTAGTCTGCTGACCGCGATCCCTGTAGAGATTCAGGGGTCACTGTTTGAGCTGGGGTGAGGACAGATAGTGACCCTCTGTTCTTATTTCACCTGGATAGTAAATACTCTGCAGCCCTGAATTATAACTGAAATGTAGCAAAGTCACTGCGCCCTCAATTTAATGACTATTTTAAATCCTCGGTTTTAATAATGTCAGTGTCTGTGTCAGTGTGAATCACACTGGGACACAGGACATCTCAGAAGTCCTTGAGTGTGGACATGTGTGAGTACATTTTCTAATACTTTGCAGTATTAAACTGCAACTAAACTATATCAATGTCAATGTATGAACTGTGTGGAAGTACATTCTGTTACTCTTTTGGCTGTACATTACACTGTAATAAAACAAAGGCAAAATAATGTAGCATCTGGTCTAACTTGTTCCTGTTCTCAACATTCCTAACCTGGGTTTCAAGGAAACAAGAACCTACGAACGTCTGCAAAGGAGATAAACAAAACAAATCATGTTAAAACAACACTGATGCACTGAAACAGCTCATTCCCATGCGCTCTTCTGTAACATGCTTATTCATTCTATTGTAAATGGAATATTTTCTTCACATTTATACTGAAAAGTATATTAGTCAGTCTGTGTGTGTGTGAGTCAGTCACTAGGTGTATGGAAATGTGCATCCTCTTACTACTGTCACATTTTTCAACTAATCATCCATAACATAAACCAGCAACTACCTGTACAACTACCAAGATGAGTTTCTTGCTTTTCTGGGCTAATCACTTATTTTATAAGAGGTGACATTAAAGCAGACGTGACGCTGGCCCTATTTCTCTGGAAGATGACCTCTGTGTGAACCTCACAGCACACTGTTATCAACACTGGACGTCTTCCCCAGGTCGTCCATTGCAAAGGCCACCTGAGAGAAAGACACAGAAACACACCATCAGAGGACATACCCATGTGATCCTGCCCAAGACAGCCTGACACACACAGTGAACTGTGAACCCCCTCTACACCTACACTTCACTGGGAGTCTTGTCCTCCTTCAGTTCCCAAAATAAGGTTTTCTGATCTTTTTCTCCAAAAATGATCTGCTGCTAAAGTCCAAGCCCATATTACACCTTGTAAAATATCAGCACTTTGCAAATCCTGAAAGCATCTCTGTTATACTGCAATATTTACAGTTGTGTGGTGACATGCACTGTAAATATAGGTCTCTGTTAATTATGCTGCACTTCAGACTGAGGTAGGGTAAAACAGGGAAAAGAGACACCTGGAAAAAAGTGATTATTTCAGCCATATTAGCCTCTCCCACTTGGCTGTCATGTCACTGTGAAAACAGGGCTCAGCAAACAGGAGTACAGTCTACCTTTAACTACAAACTACTGTACAAT